CCCCCCCCCCCCCTCCCCCTTCCCCTAAAAAAATCACTTATTAACTCTAATTAGTATATCGAATAATATGCTAAAGTAGTTGGAGTAAATTTTAGCAAATTAATGGAGTAATATTTTTGACATGTGCTAATTTGAACACTAAAATTAACATTGTTATGCAACTTCATACTAACATTTTAGCTTTGATAGATATTGAATTCAATACTTATCACTTTATTACTATCTTATTACTTTTTTTTTTTTACTTTTTTAAATCTTAAATCACTTTCTATTTAAACTTTTTATGCAATATTTAATGTTCAAAAAGTATGTTTCTCCAACAAAATCAAGTAACAATAAATTTAATTTTATTATTTTGTAACGTTAAAATTAGAGTGACAAAACATACCTTTGACATTAGGAGTGGGCATCAGTCGGTTCGGTTCGGTTGTGAATATTATCGGTTTAGCATATCGGTTATCGGTTGACAAATATGATAAATCGATAATCGAACCGATAAGATATCAGTTATCAATTATCGGTTCGGTTATCGGTTTACCCGATAAGATATAACTCAATCTAGAGTTAAACAAAAAAGAGAAGATAATTCACTGGAGTTAAGCAAAAAAGAGAAGAATTCACATATAATATACTACACATTTTTACGTTCTGACCACAACTAATATTTGAAGCATGCTTCATTTTGACAAATTCGAGACCTGTGCAATCTCCAAAATTGATACTACAACTCCACAAATATTCCATCTCCATTCACTAGAAATAGCAGTTAACAAGAACATAAATAACAATTTTTTTATTTTATGCCAAAAATTGAATGAAGCTCTGGATGTATTATATACTTAAGAGTAAAATCATAATTTTATTAAATCTTATTGGGTTGTCGGTTAACGTTAAGAAATTAGGCAAATCGAGGCCCGAACAGATAACTCAATAGGGAAAAAATACTAAATCATTACCGAACTGTTAACCCAATAACCCGATATCGATACCCCAATAAACTTTTTTCGGTTCGGACTATCGGCTATACTCGATTATACTCTGATATATGCCCAGCCCTATTTGACATGGTGCATGACGAATGACATTGTCATAACCTGAAGTTGCGAATTTGACCTTTAAGTCATGCATATTTTTTGAGCAATTCACGTATAAATCAGATTACTTTAACGTAACAAAAAAATAGTTTCATGACTTTAATTATATAGTGGCTAATGTTTATGGACTATATGTGAAATTAACAAATGAAAAATGCATATAAAATTGGACTCTAATCAAATTGGAATAGTGAGTGCGGAGACCGTGAAAGTCGAAATTGAAGCTAGCTGTTAAGCTTAATAGCGATCTTGGTCCAGTTGAGGGTTTCCCCTTTAATCAATTTCTGAATATTTGCTTAAACAGTGTTTTGTTGCTGCAATGGTGATTCAGTCCTCACTCAGGGAAGAAATATTTTGTTAAAATTAAACCAAAAAATACTAGTATTGATGGCTTGTTGCTGCTCTTTCATAGTAATTATTTAAAATTCTGTATAATTTTTTCAAATCATAGTAGTAGGGTAAATTCATGCATGCGTATATGAACTATGAATTATGAATCCACACACGTGGTATTAAGCTCTTTTGATTTGAATTACATGTTTATTTGTGTAAAAAAATTTATGGGGCTATGGTTTTAATCCTAAGATTAAGCTCAAGAATTTGAAATTGATGTGAAGGGTGTTGATTCTGTCCTAAAACTGTACTTTGTGAGCGTGAGAGCTACTCATTTTAGTAATACTCGATTTCATTTAGAAATTTGCTTATTATTTAGTTTTTACAATAAATAAATTTATTGGTAGCTCGGGCAGACTCTTGGACTATGTTATTGTTTGATCGAATTGAACCGAGTATGTTTTTATCTTTTACTTTTGGGAAGAAATCGATGACAGAGAGTGCGGTTAAGAAGTATGCTTGCAATTTATTTGGAATTCCAAAAGGGAAGAAAAGTTGATCTACAGAAGTATTTGGGGTCAAGGAAATTCGGATTTAGTTTGTGTTCAGAGAATCGATTGTTGGCATGGAACTGGAATGATTTTTCCTCTTTAAGGCAAAAATGCAGTCTTTTATTGACAATGGAGTCATCTTAGACGCTTGTGATTGCTGGAATCAAGGCCAACGCAGATAAAAGAACGATGTGGTTTCTGAATAGTTGAGGTAAATATCTCGATTATTTTTTTTCCATTTAAGTAAGCATTTCTCGATCTGATTTTTGTTTTGCTCGGTAGCTCTATATGGTAGGATCAAGGTCACGCGAATAATTTAGGCATTTAATTTTAGGAGTAGTTTTAGGTTTCCTGTTATGGGTTTGTTGTATTTTTGCGACGTTATACTGCTTTTATGATTGATTACATATAACCCTTGTGATATGAAGTTATCGACATATATATAGTTTTTGACATATTTATTGCAAAGTGGGGATTGCTTATAGCGGACGGTTGCATCTAATTTACTGACAGCAAAGCATGCACCGGAGTGAGCCTAGTGGCAAGATATTTTGGCCGAAAATCCCCGATATCCTCTATATAAGTTTCGTGTAACACTGTAATTTTCAGAAGCAAAACTCATATCGTTTCTGTACTAAATAGGCAAGGGTGTAACTTGCGTTAAAAGAGGGCTTGATTTCTCATCTCTCACTAGAAAAATCAGTCCTGAAACAGGTATATGAAAAAATGTTATGCCATTCATTATCTTTCCTTTTGGATAATTGTTAACTTTATGGCTGGAATCGCTCATATGTTTATACAGGTTCATTTTTGGTAGGGGCGTTTAGGTTTGGCAAATCTAGGCTTTTGCATTGTGTTCCAAATGTTGAATCCTGAAATGAGAGTCTTGCTTTGATTCAAACTGTATTGGATCTTTCTTTTGTCAATGCATTTAATGATTTTCAGGTTCTTTCTGTTTCAGGGCATAAAAGGCCTAAGTATTCTGGTTTTAGATACTACAATTTTGTCTTGCTCGCTTTTAAGGTTTAAATTTGGTTTGAGTCTATTGTAAGCTCGACGCTACATATGAGATTTTGGATTGTGTTCATGTACTATTTTAAATGTTGGCTCTTTTTAGGCAACAACTTATCGGTATGTGTAAATCTGTGTATAAAGATGCCATTTCTGATCTAAAAGTGAAGAAACTGTTCTGAAATAGGTTAAAGAGAATTGGTATACATTTTATGGGCTTATTGCATCTGTGTGCCGGCTAACGTTTGGTAGGGTCCATTCAGAATAGCAAATCCATGTTGCTGCATTGTTTTCGAGTTTTTGGATCTCCAAATAAAAATGTAGTTATGTAACGTTGTAACCTGAGCTGCATTGCTACTTATTGGTCCCTGCGTTCTGTTGATAATTTTTAGGTTTAGATACTAGAAACTTGTTAAGCTTTTCTTTTGGTTTACGATTCTGTTTCTTTATCTTTTGGGTGGATGCCTTGGATATGTGCGCATATACATTTCTTTTTCCCTTAAAACTCTTCTAGGTGGAATCCTTTTGAATTTTTTTTTTTTTTACATCAGTGGGTACTCTTAGAAAGTGATTGAATCTAAGAATACATTTGCCTTGTCTTAGAAACTTTGTAATCCAAACTATGAATGATAATTACTTAAAAAGTTCCCCAATCTGTTTGATCCCATGTTTTATCATCATGAATTGTTATCTCTAAATGGAAATTTAATATACTGAGATTATCGCTCGAGGATTTCTCAGCCTCATTAACTAGAGGGAGGAAAGCTCTCATTCTGTTCCTCTTGGTTTCAAGGAATAACATATGCTCAGTCATTTCATAGCTTGCAATTTATCGCGCCTAAAAATGTGCTATGTTGTCTTACAGAAGGAATATGTCTGCAAGGCAAAGAAGCTGTAACTTCAACGAAGACCGTATAAGTGGACTACCAGATGCCATCCTCATCCATATTCTCTCCTTATTGCCAACAATCGAGTCTGTAAACACAATCTTGATTCGAAGATTTAATCACCTCTGGCCATTCATCCACAAACTCACTTTTGATCAATGCATGTTTCCGGGGCACAACTGCGTCTATTATAGTCAAGCTAATCGTCCTGACTATGACGAAAGGTTCTTGAATTTTGTTCGTCATGTGCTTCTTCTTAATAAGAGCCCTACTCTTTATAAGTTCTCCCTTGATTTTCATTTTAGCTTATCCCATTCAATTCGACAAAGAGTATCCAACAGAACAGACAGATGGCAGTACGACTGTCTGAGGAGTGAGAAAAGGATGGCTAATGAAATTGGTACCTGGATCCAGTTTGCATTAAATAAAAATTTGAAGGTCCTTGACTTGTCTTTCTCTGCACATGGTACATTTGAGCCCCAGGCTTATTATGATCTGCCTANATTTTAGCTTATCTCATTCAGTTCGACAGAGAGTATCCAGTAGAACAGACAGATGGCAGTATGACTGTTTGAGGAGTGAGAAAAGAATGGCTAATGAAATTGGTACCTGGATCCAGTTCGCATTAAATAAAAATTTGAAGGTCCTTGACTTGTCTTTCTCTGCACATGGTACATTTGAGCCCCAGGCTTATTATGATCTGCCTAATTTTGTTCTAAGCAGTCCTCATTTGGTTGAACTCCGATTGGCATACTGTAAGATAAATACGAAAAAGAAGAGCGACCTGAAGGCCCTAACAACATTTTCTCTTGATAACGTTATGCTAATGGATCAATCAATGGATTATATTCTATCTGGTTGCCCGGTGCTGGAGGAATTAACTCTGTGGTTTTGCTATGGCCATAGAAGACTGGTTCTGGTCAATTCAAATTTAAAGACATTGGTACTTGGCATTAGATGGTTTGGAACAAGGATACATGTCTCTGCTCCAACTCTTCTATCATTAGAAATGTCTGGAACTGTGGAGGTGCTGGATATTACAAATGTAGCATCTATTGTTGAAGTGTCTGTCAATCGTATGGAGAAGTATGACTTCAAAGAGTACAAGGATTATCAAGAGATGAGAATACTCCTCCAAACAATTACAGGGGCCAAAAGTCTCAAGCTATGTTCCTGGTTTGCTCTGGTATGTGGCTTTTTCTCTTTCTCCACAACTTCTCCAGGTATATTTAACATTTCTGACTCTGGAGAAATAGCCTTTTAGGTGGACATACTAACTATAAACTCCTCTATTCAAGAGATGGAATAACATTAAATTTATTGACTGGAGGGGTTATGGTGTTGGATTTTGTCTTTAACGCTCAGGTTTAGGCATCAAACGATATTTCATGTACATTGTGCAATCAGTTTTTTAATGCTTTTGTTACTTACCTTGTGGTTGTCAGCACAAGTCCTTGTTGATTAAATCGTCATCTTGAGTTTGTGCTTCTCTGCTTTTCTTAAGAAATTTCATTTTAACTTATTGAAAAAAGAAACTTTTATTTCAATATGATCAGATTACAAACAAACCCTTCTCATGTTGTTTTCCATAAACTCAGAAAGGGTAGATAAGTCAATATCCTAAGTCCTACAGCAAAAGGCATATTCTTTCATGTAGAGTCTTATGGAGGCTAGATAATAAAAAGTCAGAGTATAGTGAAGTTGCCATATGACTGTGTGCTACTTCCTCTAAGCAATTTAGATGTCTGCATTTTCATGGTTCAGTTTAGCAAGCATTTACGTCAAATTTGTTGCGATGCAGCATTCTTTGCTATTGTAAGCATCTCTTTGATTGCATTCTTTATCATGACAATATCAAAGGAAGAAACCTCCTTGTTTTCTTGATCATTTAGAAGCATTGTTCATAGTGCATAGGACCATTTCCTTTTAGACATAGTCCTTTTCGCCAACACAAGAATTTACTTATGTGCTGAAGCACACACCAAATTTGTACATCGCATTGAATGTGTGCGTTGCATCAAATGTGTTTAAGCTTAATTTGAACTTACAGACAATATCTTTTTCATGGTGTAGAGATGCGTTGTTCAAATAAATAGATGGGGAATGCTCATGTTTCACATAGCAACAAAGAAAGTTGACCAAGGGCTTGAATAGTCTAATGCAAAAATCTATTTATTTAGTTTCTTTAACTTTTGTGTTTTTATTTTTTGTCTGCCTAGGTATTTTCTTCATGGCAGTTGACAAATCTACCAGCTCCGACCTTCAGTTGCAAGGCGCTTAACCTTCAATTGGATTTTGTGAAATGGCACTTACCAGGAATACTGAACTTGCTGAAGCACTGTCCTTGCTTGGAGAATCTTATCATCGAAATAACTGCTTACTATGATTATCCATCGCGAGTATGACAAAATTTAATTGTTTTATTGCTCTAGTTGTTAACTGTGTTCTTTGCAATGTTCGAGTCGAACCTATTATCATGGACCCTAAAGATTTGGAAACATGTTGGTGTCAGACACTGGTAGGACACTAACCCGAGTTGGCATGATTGGGATATGTTGAATACTAACTTTGACATTTTCCATTTTAAAAAAAAAAATAGCACTTTCAAATTTCATATGCAAATAGCACTTTTTTCCTAATCTCCTTTTTACTCATTATTTGGGGAGTCATGAGAAACCATCAAGTAGCAACATAAGACATCATGTTTCTTCAAGGTGGAAACTTAAATTTCTAAACATGTATGATTTTCTTTGTTTGTTTCACAGTAACTATAGATGTATTTTCATAATGTGTTACCCTAAGATTTTGCAGTTCCGAGACCTTGTTAGTATCCGTTATAGNCCGTTATACATAGCTCAGGACAATTCTTAACTGGATATTTCCTCTTGTGCTTATTTTAGAACGCAACCTCGTGGATTCACCCATATGACTTTGATGGAGATGAATTTTGGAATATGGTAGATACTCCTGTCCAGTGCTTGACTCATCACCTCAAGACGGTGGAGGTAGCTGGTTTCGTAATGGAGAAGCATGTGATTCATTTTGTGGAATATTTGCTCAGGAGTTCCATGGTATTAGAGGAAATGGTGATATTCGCGGAGAAGCAAACGTGGATCTATGGCCCAATTACTCTTATGTCTGGTAAGGTTCAGGAATTCGAGGAGAGGCTAATAAATGCCCCAAAAGCCTCTGCCTCTGCTGCAGTGGTTTTCTATTGATGGTGAACCCTTCAGAATGATTTGGCCTAGATAGTGTAAAAATCATTTACACTGTCAGTGTTTATAAGTTGAACTTCTGATAATAATGTGCACAATGAATTGTGCCGTGGACCGTTTCCTGCATTTTCTGTAATAACCTGTTGAAGGGCTTTTCTGTTAGATGTTATGTAGCTTTTTCTTTCAATATTTTCTTTTTGTGAAATTGGTTTTATATGAGGTCCTATTAGAGGAGAAAGTTATGAATGGGCTTTCTATTAGTTGTTCAGAGTTCTACCCATATTAGGCCTTAAAACTCACTTAGCAATGAGAATTTAGAGTTAAACAGGCCACTCTGTTGAGTTTTGAACTACACCTTGTAATTTAATAGGAAGAGAACACCAAAAAACTGGGTTGCTATAAAAATGTGGTAATACTTTAGCATTAGATTTTCAAGCATTTCATCATTTCATGCTGCATATACTATGGTTTTTTATATTCTCTTAAGGTAGATGCACCATGTGGTTAGTTGGCTAAAAATCTGGAGTTACTGGACTACTTATTAAATTCGTTATAGGTAGCTTCATCGTATACTCTATATAACTAGTTAATTAGCTCGCGCTTCTCGCGGTCAAATATATCCGTGTGTAAATTAGCTGATATAAAAGATAAAGTTATATAACAAAAAGAATATATGTGTGTATATAGATTGTTGTATATACGTAAAATGAAAAATTGAAAAACAATACGCTGGAGTTACAATCAATGAAGAAAGGCAATTTAGAGTCCAAAATTTGAACAGAGTTGGTAAACCAGATTAGATTTATGAAACACTTATGAATTATGATTCTTGCCCTACTTTATTTAATAAAGTTTAATATAATGACTTTGTGGTAAATAAGGGATACTATTTGTTCTTTTCCTTGACAAGAATAGTGTCTGAATTTGCTTCTTTGGACATTGCATCACTAGCCACTTTTTGGTTTCCACAATCCAAATCACAATGCTTTTGCTCAGATTTGATATTCTCTGTTTTCTGGCAAGATGGACACAGGGCAATTGTCCTAATCTTGGGAAGTCGAAGATGAAAAGGTGATGCCCACTGATCAATTTTGATTGATCTTAGCTCTTGCAACTCTTTCTTTAGTCTACTATTTTCATCATTCAAATTTTGGCAGCACTTCTTCAAAAACTCACAGTCCACTTCTGTTTGCTTCAGTTTGGTCCTTTATAACACATAAACAAATGTTATAATTAAGAATTTAAAACTGTACAAAGAGTAAAATATGAAATAGAGGTATTAAAATTAATGAGAATATAATTACCTTGCTCTTCTATTCTGAAACCAAACTTCTACTTGCCGTGGCTTGAGTTTTAATTTGGCTGCAAGCTCTTGTTTTTGACCCTGCATATCAATCCAAATTTAGCCTATCACTCTTAACCCTCACTTGTTAAAGACATTTTCCATCAGTCTTTTCTTCTAAAGTACATAAAAAAAAAAATGGGGAGTCTTGGAGCAACAGTAAAGTTGTCTCCGTGTGACTTGTAAGTCACGAGTTTGAACCGTTGAATCAACCACTGATGCAAGCATCAGGGTAGGTTGCAGCCTGCCTCCCCTTGGGTGCAGTCTTTCCTTGGACCCTACGGGATGCTTCGTGCACCGGGCTGAAGATGCAAACTTGAAGATATTAATGATATACCATAGCAAGTGTAGTGTGCCGTTTGAAACTTTCTTCAAGCAAAGTGGATTGTTCTTTGGTAAGCCTCAGCTTCTTTCTCATACCATTCTTCTTGCTCTCATTATCAAAATTGTTGAAATTTCTTGGACTTGTACTGTTGGGGGCTTGCCTTAGGTCATTTTTACAGTTTTTTGAGGTTGACCCCTCGGTCTTTTTCTCCTCCATATCACTAGAATGAAGAGGAATAGATAGATCAAGACATATAATCTTCTTATGTTCTTCTAATTGGTTTTGTTTAGGTAATAAATCACTTGTGACAAGTCCAAGTGTGAGTCTGGTGTCACAAGTTTCATTATCATTTCCCATGGCATAGAGAGAAATGATATCTGCAAAAGAGAAAAGAATGAGGTGAATATTATGGTATGATTTGAGAATACTGAAACTGTTCCTTGAGCAGGATCTAATTTATATGGTAAGAGTGGGAATAAGTATGTTTTGTTTCAGAAATAATGAATGAGACTGTTAATTTTGTATTAATTATACAAAGTCATTAAGTAGAGAAGAGAGGAGTGAAATACTAATAAGCATTTGAGTAGTAATGGCAATTATGGCATGCGTTAAAACTATGACTCCTATTAGGAGACCAATAACTTACTTTGAACTATGACTTTGTTTGACTTGCCCCCCTGTTTCCCAGAAAAAGATTTTGATATATTCAAAGGGCTTTTCATATTCCAATTACTTGCACATTATTACTCATTTGTTTCTTGCGTATAGAAACTCTAATACATTTATGATTCTCATAAATTAATGAGAAAGGATTCATAATTTCATACATTTCGTAACGATAAGAATTATTTTAGGACAAAGAGAATCATGTAGGGTATTTGGCTGGTGATGACAATATTTGGAGATTGCCGTGGAGAGGAGCAAGGATTTCACATTAAGTCCCTGTGGGACTTGGAATATTACTCGGATTAGGAGTCTATACTTTATACAACACAACACACATTATTATAGCGTTCATTTTTAGGTATATATAATAATAACAATAACAACAACAATACTGATAATAATATTTTCTTCAATATTCAATTGATTGGCCGTAAATCTGGACAACCGCTAATGAGTCACAAATATTAAATGTAATTGTATTGCCCTAATATCGAATCAATCTAGAACCACAATAAAGTATGTCACCAAATAAGAAAATGTTTATTTTTTATAAGCTACATCGACAAGGTCGTTGTAGTATAGTGGTGAGTATTCCTGCCTGTCACCCGGGTTCAATCCCCGGCAACAGCGCATTTTTCATTTTTCTCCTATATTTGCTCCTCAGTTCTACGTTTGAAATGAACCAATTTTAGAATTGCCCCTCAAAGTGTCTTGCACATAGCTCATGTCACGTTTTCCTTTTACTTTTGACCAAAAGGAGGAGAAATTTTGCCAAACGCTTACTAGACGAGGGACCAGAAATATGAAATATTAGTCGAAGTATAATACGCTAAACTACCCGTAATAAAGAGACTAAAATTATTAATTTTTACAACTTCGAATATTCTAAAAGCAAAACAAAACAAAAAAAGAAATGGGAGAAGGATATTGGAGTATTTTGATTTATACACTGGGTTCCTAATCGGGAAAGTACTTACTTATACAAGTCAGTTTATATTTACATCAAATCATAATAAATCAATAATGATCACATAGGCGGAACTCAAATTTTAATATTTATGAGTTTCTAGTGTAATTTTAAGTATATGGGCCAAGTACATGTTTCTTCGGGTCGGGGGTTAACTTTGAAGTATGGAAGAAGATATATTAAGTTTGTCTCTACATAACTAACGTTATCCATAACACAAGTTACAACCAATATGGAGAAATTGTAGGAAGATTAAAATATTATGAGAAGGACCCATTTTTCCACATTTTAGAGGGAGTAATATCACCGAAGAATGTGGTGCAGTGGATATGACTGCTCTTTCCTTAACCAGAGGTCTCGGGTTCGAGCCCTAGGTATGGAAAAATCTTTGGTAGGAAGCGTTTCTCCCCGAATGGGGCCTTACGCGGCGCGAATCCGCATATAGTAGGGCTCCAATGCGGGTACCGGACACCGGGTGGAAAACAAAAAAAAAATATAATGAAACTGAGGATACCTGAATCCAAACTGACTTATTTGCCCCTTGATGGAGAGACGTAATCACAAATTCACAAAAGAGGTGAGAATCAAGATTTCAAACCTGTGGACTCGAGATTTTAATCGTTTTAAGTTACTGGCTTCTAAATTAATAATTTATACATATTCAATAAACTTTTTAAGACAAATACAGAGTTCGAACCAAAGCTATTGGGTTTAGCCGAACCCGCTCTCGGTACTCTAGCTTCGTCCCTATTCACGATCATATTAAGCTAACACACACTTTGCGCAGATTATGAAAAGGTTATTGATTTATTTATTGGTATTTTGGGAATAACAAATTTTAAAATTACTACTCACAAATATTATTTCTCGCAAAAATAGAAGCTTAAAATTAGTATTTTTTATACTGTTAGGTCATCAACTGAATAGTTAAAAAAAATAAAAAAGAAATTTACACCGGATAAATTAAAACCAAAATTAAAGAGGCGCCTTCCATTGCAAAGCAACGCTAATACTAGGAATGCCGGCAAAGCTAAACAAACAGAATCCTCAAACGACACTCCATTTTGATTAAGATTAGTTGCTAATTGCCCAAACATAATCTCTATCCAAGTCAACTCTCTTTAAGAACATTTTACTTACAAACATTAAAACCCAAAACTACCCTTTTTAATTCTAACCAAAATCTCTCCATATAAGGCTATTTACGTAAACTAATAAATCCATTCACCAGAAACCCGGTAAATATGCCGGCTTAGCATCTACATTGCCGCCTCATTTCAAGTGTTTGTTTTTAGTCTCAACCATTTTCGGTAACAAACCAAAAATCAAAAATCCAAAAGCCAAAACTTTTCTCTCTTGACTCTATTGTGTTGTTTGCTTGTTATTTTTGTTGTTACTATGAAGGAGAACGACTGTGAAAACATGGGTTTTGATCATTCTTTGACGCCAAAAAAGCCAAAATCAAGAAAAATAAGTTCAAGATATCTCTCCACAACTTCAAATCGTTCCATTCTTGATACGGAAAATCAGTCTCCACAAAACATAGTGCCAAAACCAAGATCATCCACTGATTGTAATAAGCTTAAAAGCCTTGAGAATTCAGGATTAATGGGTAAACTTTGGCCATCTTCAAGTTCAACGGTCGACACATTTGCAAATCACTTAGGAAATGAGAGGCAAAAAGACATTGAAGAGCACAAAAATCCAATGTCTCTTAGTAAGCAAAAGAGTTGCACCGAGTTTAGTAGATTTGAGAATGAAAAAGAAAAACGTAGATCATTTTTTGGTGGTAGGTACACTAGAAAACTCAAATTTCCAGGTAGATTTTCAACTTCTTCAAATTTATTGGAAGATTATAGCGATCATATTGTCCCTGGAAGACTTTCTATCGATGAGGATGAGAACTCCCTTGGGCGAAGATCTAATT